GGAATAATATTTTGAATATTTTACAGTTGGTTTGATACCTTTATCTCAAACGGTGTCAGAGTTTAATTAATTTAAGTGGGTATAGTATATAAAACATGACAAATATGGATTCAGTACTGTGTATATAAAAACAATAAAGGCATAATCTGGAAAACCAAGACTTGTGCATTATAGGGAATAATATTTTGAATATTTTACAGTTGGTTTGATAGCTTTATCTCAAACTGTGTCAGAGTTTAATTAATTTAAGTGGGTACAGTATATAAAACATGACAAATATGGATTCAGTACTGTATATAAAAACAGTAAAGGCATAATCTGGAAAACCAAGACTTGTGCATTATAGGGAATAATATTCTGAATATTTTACAGTTGGTTTGATACCTTTAGATCAAATGGTGTTGTCGTTTAATGGATTTATATTATTGCATACATTAAAAGTTGTAAAATTATTATAAAAAACATAAAATTGTAATTCCAAAAACGGAGCTTTGTGCGATAACAGGTATGTTTTCCCGAACATTTTAGTATTGGTTTTATATTATAATGTCACGTAGTTAAATTGTTTAATTAATTTAAATGGTTAATTTTTTTTTTTTAATTCCTAGAAATTAAGCCTTGTGCAACATAAAGGGCATATATTTATGTCTATCTGAGTTAGTTTGGGCTCAAAACATAAAAGCTGCAAAGAGTTTAATTGGCAAAAGATCCGAATGTCTAATGAATGTCAAACGTCAAACTAACTTTACCGCCGTGAGTCAGATTGCCCCCCTAGTGGATGGCTAAAGATTTGTTAACTCATATTCATAAATTCTCAAGAGAAAGTCTCTGAATTAACTGATGCTTGCGCCCCCCTTGACAGTTGCTGGCGCCCCCCAGGTTGAAAACCCCTGGTCGAATGAATGTCAAACGTCAAACTAACTTTACCGCCGTCACAAACGGAATACTGCGTCACACGCCATACTCGAGGCCAAGGCTTCATGTGAAAATCGCCTGCCCAATTCAGCCAGCAGTGACTCAGTCCACCACATTTTTATTCGCGGGTTTATTAAAAAAATACAACGAATTTCCATTATTCAGTTAACTTGCTAAAGCGGGAAAATAATGAAAAGAGAGTCCTCCAATGTAGCCTATCGCGACAAGTTAAGAAGATGAGTCGCGGCTCGCGAGGGGCTTAAATATCATAGAAATGAATTTAGCCCAAAACGTACTTATTCTATCCACTAAAATAATAAGACAATACAAATTAAACGAGAAAATATTAATGATTAAATTTGTATATTTTATTCATAGCGCAGACAAAATCATGATTGGCTCAGTTCTTTGCAGGTTGCATAGCTATCTGGTTGTTACCCCCTTATTGCCCAAACGTAACACATTGTTTCCTTTACCTACATGTACGTTCTTTATAAGTACACTATATTTACAGAAACGTACACTGTAAATTCAGTATAGGCCTTACGTAGTTCTTCGTGGGTTGTAATCTTAAGCGTTACCAGTTTATGTATTGTGTATCTGCAAATGCAATACACATGCAGTGTAGGCCTACCAAACGATTATTATTATTTTATGTCATCAAAGACATCTAATAGCCTATAAACAAGTTTCATTTTATTGTGTCCAATAAATAACCTTTAAAGGAACGAAGAAAAAAAAAAAGTATTTCCCCCAGAAACATTTAATAACAAGTGTCGATTTGTTTGTATGTTCGTTTAACATTGCTATTTAAAATATTCAAAACATTTGAATAGGTTTGGTACTTTACAAAGGAATCTCCCGTATACATTCCTTTCCTCCGATAATGATGTCATACATGACTCACATTCCTAATTTGAAAGCTAATGATTAGGCCTACCTAAAAGATTATAGCCTATATAAACGCAAACTCGGGAGACACGAGTAATAACAGTATAATAACTCCTCGTTGCTCCTCCTCCGTGGGGCTGAGGGGAGGTTCACACACTGAAATCTGATACATGTGCCTACAGATGAACTCTCCTCCTCCTCGTGAGTTTATCCTGATCGCACGCTCAGTCCATGCGAGAGAATCGGCTGGTATAAATGGAGATATCTCGCGAGCCGTGCTTGCTTCTGGATTTCTAGAGCCCAAACTGAAAGAATGATCTTATTTCACAGTGCCGATCACACGCTGGTGCTTTATGTACTTTATCATTTCTTTATTAATAATCTCTTTTGAGAATAGCTCTAACCGGTTGGACTGAAGTTTTAAAGCAATGGATCCAGTAACGAGGTGGACACCGAAACAGGTTGTTGACTGGATGAGGGGTGAGTTTTGGATTTAGTCCCTGCATAATATGTATGCTGCTTGTAAAATTTTGAGATATAAATGGTCTCTCTCGGTTTAGATAGCCAGTGTAAGAATCTGGAGCGAGTGCTTTGTTTATCTGCACTTTCGATGAAACCAAGATTAGCGTGTCAACAATGTTCAAGCACAAACAAAACAAACTTGTATGTTTAAAGAAACTCATGATCCTATCGTGTGGCAGAAAAAGAAATGCATTTATGAAAAGAACATCCCGCTGTACTGCACGTTTTTGATTGTTATGTACGCATGTTAATGTTAGAGTTACAAAACCTATAAATGACCTAAATGATGCAAAGCACAATAAAAATATTATAATAGTTAGGGATGCATTTTATCGGACATTGGCTGATTAAAAACAGCCGATGATTAGAGCCGACTATATCCTGTCAGTCAAAAGGAGGAGGAAAAACATGTCCGACTTCAAGTTGTGTGTTAAGAAAATGTTCTCGTGTTGAATTTAGGGCTGTCAGAGTTAACACGATAATAACACATTAATGCAAACCTGTTTAAAAGAGCGCTGTTAACATATTAATCATTTGTTACATTGCACTTATTTTGCACTACATGTCTTTACATTGTACATATATTTAAAAACTATGCCTGCATGTAACTACATGTGTAATTAATTTCTGTAATTATGTCAGATTACAACATAACGAATCATACCATAAAACCTGTCTCTAACTTTTCCAGTATCCCACCTCAATTGCAGAATTTTGTGATGATATATGCTAAATATAGAATGCAGAAATGCAGTCAAGTAACTGCAGAAAAGTTTCTGAACTTGTGTATTTGTTTTTGTTAATCATTAATGATGTAAATTTCTAACAAAGATCTCATTCAAAAATGAATTGATTTCCAAACCATGACATCTAATAGATGTGACAGTGATATTTTAAGATATTATGGGGAAAAAAGATAATCTTAATCAACCTGGGGATGGGTGAAATTGTGAAAGATTTACTTTGCAAAAAGTATGGTAACAATTACTTGCTACTTTTTCACAGACTGCACAAAGTTACCTTGCTAACCAATCTCCAAAAGCACATCCCTCTACAGTGACTCTTTCAAATATTTTCATTAGAGATGCACCGATCGATCGGCCAGGGATCGGAATCGGCCGATTTCCCTTATGATCGGCCCGGATCGGTGATCGGTCGGTCAGTCTCACTTCTTTCCGATTCCGAGCCAATCCGTTTTGTTACCAGCGGCACAGGCAATAACATCAGCTGCGCATTCTCGCTCTCTTCTCTCCGACGACCCCTTCTCTCTCACACACGTCTCATTTGCTCTGGTTAAATAGTGCTTGTATTGTGCATTAGTCATTCCCGCAGGTTTCGTGTTTATACCAAACGTGCGCGCACCACCACTGATCTATATTAGTGGAGCGCACAACAAAGAACAAAAGACAAAGAAAATCATTTTCTGCTCTTGACTGAATACGTTTTTCTAACTTTAATGGTAAGCATTAATCTGTATTTAATTTTTACAATGAAGACTACAGAAATTAAAGTAATCAAATCTAAAATAACACTGGATGTGTTATTTTACATTTGATTACTTTAATTTCTGTAGTATTTCTTACCTGAATAAAAACTTACTTAACCTGAAAAACTTTCATAGTTTCATAGCTCTCTTTATTCTATTGCATTTATTTGTGCTGTTGTTTGCCATTTTTTTAGTTGTTCTTATTTTATTACTGACTTTTTACTTGTGTTTTTTTTATGAAAATAAAACTTTGCGTTGAAGAAAAGTAGATTTTTGTTTGTATATGCTGTCAATTATAGTTCTTAGAAAGAAAATCGGAATCTGCAAAAATCGGTATCGGCAGATCACACTAACGAATCGGAATTTGGAATCGGCCAAGAAAATTGCAATCGGTGCATCTCTAATTTTCATATCTGTAAACTTGAATGGCAGGAATATATTTGTTAAAGAACATTTTGCTAATTTGATAAGTGTCACAAAGTGTTGCAGACGGACAGACATGATACACGATAGTGTTGCTTTCGTCAACGAAAATTATGACTAAATATCGTCATCAATGAACCTTTATCACGTGACGAAAACGAGACCAGACGCAACGTAAATGCTGGTCATGTGACGATGACTATAATTAAATGTATAATGCAATATTGTTGACGAATAAAAACGAGACTAAATGTGGTTTACAAAATAAAAACTATGCTAAAATGTCTCTTAATTTTAGACTAAAACTCAAATTAAAACAGGCCGCCAAAAACAACACTAATACACGATCAAATATCCAACAGAAAGTCTTTAATAATAAAGCATGGGTAAACAGGACAGAAGGTAGTAGACAACACTCGTAACGCAAACGAGACCGAACCCTGAACACAGGAAACTAAAGGGAAAACTTCGGAAGGGGTCATCGGATGCCCATTTTCCACAAGTTGATATGATTCATTAGGGTCTTTAATGAAAAGTCTATAACATACTTTTTGTTTAAAATTTCTCAATGGTAGTGTAAAACAATAACCTTTTTACCTTGTCAAAATGAGCTCTGCAGACATCACCCGGTTTTGTTGCATGTTGCTTTAATTGCTAATGAGCTCTGCTCACCCCGCCCCTCTCAATCGTGTGAGGTCACACAGACAAGAAGCTGAGAACAGCCTGATTTGAAACAGGGGATATTATTTTTAGTAGGGATGCACCGATACCGATACTGGAGTACGAGCTCCTGTACTCGTACTTGTACTCGTTAAAATGCCCCGATACCAAACGCCAATACCACACAGCATGTGATAAGCGCCATATTCAAACAAAGAAACACCGACAACAGAACAACAGACAGCAGAAAGGAGTTAAGGGCGTCTACTACGAAGTATATGTATGCATGCAATGAATATAATGTTAAACATTCGGTATTAACACATGTATAGCTGATGTGCGCGAGTTGATAAACAAAGCACGCTGAGTGGATTGAGCACGCGGCGGCGCAGATGCGCGAGCTTGTCGAATTAATATACCTTTCTCACAGACATCACTGGAAAGTTTGTAGGAGTACTGGAAAAAGTGGTATCGGTGCATCCCTAATTTTTAGGGATTAAATGAAAAACCACTGGGTGGATTTTTATCATCATAGGATGGATGTGTACACACACAAAAAAAGTAAAAGTGTAAAAGTGAATTTAGCATCCGATGACCCCTTTAAATACTAACAAAACCAAGGTTAATGGCAACCATTTGAAACCATAACTAATCAAATCATAAACCATGACAACAACTGACAAGCGGGAAAAATCAAACAAAGGCAGACAGGAACTAAAGAATACAAACTAAAAGTCCATGAAACTGAAACTAACTGAACATAATGGTGACAAGTTGGGTTAGGCTACCAGTGATGTGAAACCAACAAGTGTACCTTTTCTACTGTATTAATGCTTTAATCTTATGTTTTCCATCCACGTAACCACAACACCATATGTGAACCCTTAGATCTTGGTATCACCTTATGGTGTCTTCATGAGATTCTCGTAAATATTTAATGGAGACTCTCTGTTGAAGTTTAAATAGAAGAGGTGCCTGGAATTTCCTGTTCTCTTCTTTAATTTGACGGGAATGTATTTTTGTAGTGTGCAGAATAGGAGTGTTTTATTTTTCTTAAAGACAATGCAGACACAAATACAGAATTTTATGGCATTTATCCTTTCTCATACATTTCCATTCCAACACACTCTACTTTTCCACACAAGACCTTTGATCCCACTTTGAAAATCTGTTGACATTTGCATGAATCCATCCTCCGTTTATAACAGCACTGAGTTGACAAGGTGTGAGCCTGCTGGTTTTTGCATTCAGAACTGAACAACACAATGTGAATCTCCCAGATGCTGTAGCTTTGTAGTGCCAGCATAAGAGCAGAGATCTCTATAAACATGCAGCTTAACGCAACAGGGGTAACGTAACCTCAGATAACACATCACACACAGTTCACTGCCCCTCCATGGGTGCTTAGCCAGGTAGAAAGTTGGACAGGACACCGTGGGTTCACTGCGGCAAAAGGCTAATCCTCAGGAACAAATGGAATGCCTATTAAATACACAAGTTCAAGGGATAGAAATTAGTTCTGGGCAAAGCTAGAGTTTAATGACCATATTCAGTTCTTTAGAGAGTTCCTTTATTATGTGTAAAATTGAAACTTCATGCCATTAAAAAGATCTGTCACTATATACTCACCCTCACGTTATTACACACCCAAGACTTCGGTTCATCTTAGAAACACAAATTAAGATATTTTTAATGAAACTTGAGAGATTTTGGTCCTTACCTTGAAAGTCCATTCCACCAAAACATTAATGCTTGGATGCAAAAATGAGATTTTTTTAAACCCATTTTATCATCAACCAGGTGAAAAGGCCCTGATATACTCACAACAAAGTTATTTTTTCTTCTTTGCTTAGAGGTTAGAAGTTGGAAATATCTTAGCAGTGGTGCACAGTTTGCAAAAATCCCATTGCCCCCTATTACTGATTGCACTGTTTAGATGAATATATAAATATGTGCTGCTCTCAATGACAAAATAAGTACACAACAAAAATGACTGTGGTGAAAAATAGCAGTTAAGAAAGCATCTGATCATAGCAACCGTGGATATGTTTGCACCAGCTCTAGAATTCGGCACTCCAGTCAAGTCACTTCATGTTTATTTGTACTGCAGCTTTACCGTATTAAGCATGAAAAATGGTGTCACATTCAGTTAGAACTACAATTTCAATTTCTACTATAAAGCAGCTCGCCAGTGTTCTTGTTTTTACTTGCGACTGAAAAGAACAAATGAATGGGATTTCCACATCAAAGAAGGCAGAGCCACATAGCCACGCCTACCTATTATGTATTCGCCAAAGACCAATGGTAGTTCAAAGGTGTTTACCAGTTGGAGAAAATCTTTGAGGAAAGTATGAATCAATCGCCAAATGGACTGATTTGGATTGAAATG